CCCTTCCTGCCCAGTGGCCTGCCCCCCATGGCCACTACCAGCTGCTGGAGCATGTCAGTCCAGTCTAGGATGCGGCAGTGGTATTGCTGGCACCTCTAGTTGGCTTCAGTGACAGGTGGCGGTGACCCTGTGGCAGCAGTCCTGTGGACTCTGTGGTCTCTCCCCCATGTCCAGATATTGGCCCTGCAGAGGCAAGAGACAGAAGGATTTTGTAAGAGTTTGTAATATTTGAGAGAGATGATGTTCTGCTCCAGGGGCCCTGAACTGCTGGCCTCAGATCAAAGGGTAGCAGCGTGCAGGCACCCAAGAACCATGGTAAGTTGGCCTGGCAGGCCTGGGCCCAGGTGAATGCTGCCTGAGCCCCCCATCCCCACTTGCTCCCTGGGGGCCAGCTGCAGGCTGCCTGCCTCCCCTGCTACCTTCCCAGGGTGGGCCAGGCCAGGCTGTTAGCAACACCTGCTGCCATGGCCGCAGCCCCCATTGACACCCCCTCTGCCCCTGCAGGCCCACTGCTGTGCTTCACTGCAGCCCAGGCCCTGGTGCCAAGGCTTAGGGTACATGGGGCTCCTGGACAATGGGGGTAAGGGGCTGGCCACGCTTCTGCCTTCTGTGCAGGAGACCTCTCTAAGAAGGTACCTTGGGGCTGGCTCCCCAGCATGCTACTGCTGCACCCCAAGTGTGCCCCTGCTGCATGTGCCATGGTCAGTGCATGATAAACTGCTTGTGAAGGTGGAGGGATGCCCAAGCCCCTACGCCCTGCTGCTGCTGACTCTGCTGGTGCCCCAGGAACATCTGTGCTCCTGGAACCCTGAGCTATGACAGCATGGGGGCAAGCCTGGCCTGCCTCACAACCTTTTCTGCTGCCTGAAGGGCTACCTGTTGCAGCACTACACATTCCTGCCCCTGGCCACCAAGGAGATCGCTGCCAGGCTTGATGCATTCCTCGGCACGTGAGAGGCCTGTGCCCGCCCAGCCATGGGGACACAAAGTCCCCATGGGGACCCCATGGCTTCCCAGCCTGCTCATGAAGTTCTGACCTGTGTTTCACCTCCCTGTGTGCTGTGGTGGGAAACCCAGGGGCAGGAAAGTGGAAGGGGGACAAGAAGGGGGTAGGGGCCGGAGCCAGGGGCAGGGACTGGCTAGAGTCACAGTTGTGCAGCTGAGGCACTTCACCATGATCCTTCAGAGAGAGGTGGGGGTGAGCAGCAGGAGGCAGTGAGTGCTGGCCCTGGTGGGATCACAGGGCTGGGCAAGGAGTGCAGCAAACTGCAGCCCTTGGCACCAATCACTTGTAGCCAGGGAGCAGCTCTGGAGTGGGAAAGGTTTGGCAAACACAGGCTATGGGCTGTCCAGGGCAGCACATGGGACCTGCCGGACTCCAGCAGTGAGCACAGGCTCTGGCGTGTGTGCTCCACAAAACAAAATAGCTGCAGGCATCTATACCCTGTAGCTAGGGGCTGCTAGAGAGCAGCCCAGTCGAGCAGCAGGAGAGGGGGCCAGGCAAGAGCCCTGGGGCTGGCCTCCAGCCAGGAGGCTCCTGCATTATGCGAATTACTGTATCTACATGTGCATTACTACGTGGTAACTAATCAGGCATAAATTTGATACCTGAATGATTCAGGTATCAAATTTATTCCCACATCACCACAATGCACCCATATTAACTGTGCAGTATGAGTATGCATGTGTAGACACGTGCCTGTACTGTGTAGAAATTTAGGTTATTGCGTAGTAAATGTGCATGTGTAGATGCATCCAATGAGGAGTAACTGGATTAAATGAAGAAAAGAAAATTATGTGGACCAGATTCAGGAGGGGGCGAAGGGAGGAGCAGGGACAGGGACCTTGTGGAGAATGATCCACATCCTGAGGTGCTTACTCAAAATATTCTTCAGTTTTCCCTCAGAGGAAACTCTGATACATGGAAGTTTTGTCTGGACAAATAAGGAGTGAATGAAACTGATTTTGACCTTGGTTTGTATGGAAGGAAAAAAACAACCCAAAAACACTAAGTAGGAGTTTTGTCTCTAAAGTGCTCCCTTAATTTAAAGAGCACCTGCTGGTCTGCAGTTCAGACCAGTTGTAGCTTGAAGTTTTGGGGAGTACATACCCCTTGAATATGGTAAGTAGCGCTGAGTTGCATGACACTTTGGTGATGATGCACTTTGTATAAGTGAGAAAAATATTTTACTAGTGTGGGTTCAGATTCAGACTTAGTGTAAAGTACTAATCATTGCTGCATGTCATACAGCTTTACTGGATATTACAAAGTTGTGAAGATTAAAAAGCACCTTTGGCTATACAAATACTAGGATCATAATGGCAGACTGTTATAAATTTAGCCTGCATCTGACTCAGGTAGTGGCCACACCAGGAAGGGTCATCAACCTTCTGTAAGCAAGAAGACAGACTTGGGGGGTGTGTGTGTGTGTGTGTGTGTGTGTGTGTAGGGCTCTGCATTATTCATATTCATCTTTAAGAGAAAACAATAAGGATGCCCCATTGAATAAGAAAGCAATTGTTACGTTAAAACCTTGAAAGCTTATAGAAGTTGGTGAACAGTCTCCAATTAACTTCAATGGGCTTCAAATCAGTTGTCGAGTGCAGAGATGAGGAAAAGAAATAAACAGCAGAATCAGTGTCAGGTTTTGCTTCAGGACCCACCCCACCAGCTGGGACTGGTGGCACCGCGTTGCCCTGCACACCTAGGATGATGACCAGTGGCTGGACTCATTCTGCATGACCCAAACCATGTTCCAGGAGCTAGTCCAGCAGCTTGGCTTGCACCTGGAGTGCTAGCACACCACCATGCACCAGCCTCTCCCCACAGAGACCCACGTGGCCATCGCCATGCTGCAGCTTGCCATGCCCACCAGCCTGTGCCATGTCACCCACCTGTTCAGGGTGGGCAGGCAGCCACTGGAAAGGCCATCCTCGAGGTCTGCAGCACCGTCCAGAATGTGCTGGCCAACACTGTGCTCAGGGTCGCTGACCCCCTGGAGGTGGTGGTGGGCTTCTGAGCACTCAGCTTCCCGCAATGCATCATTAAGTGAATGGACTTAAGTTCAAGCTTCATGTTTAAAGTGGTATTTCCTAGATACAGAACAAACAAAAAACCCCCAACAACCAATTAAATAAGTAAAAAACAAGAGGGAAAATGGAAACATATCCGTAAATAGTCTCTTCCTTACACTTCTAGTCATCCTTTACTGAAAGGCTTATTCTTTGATAATTATTTTGTTTTGTTCTTTGAACCAGTATTGCTGTTACTCTCATTTCTTCCAAGTCACAGATTATCCAAGTGGCATTAAGTATGCTAGTAAAACCTGCAGATGAACTAAATGACTTGGCAGAATATCATTAATATCACTTCCAAGAGATTCTTGATTGATGGATAGGAAAAAAGAGACACCATGCTTGTCTACCATTCATATTGCAACACTAAAGGACAGAAAAGTCTGGTAAGCAGCAGCAGTTTCATTTTAATCATCTTTTTTATTAACAGTAAATCAGAAAAGAAAAACTGGGTCGGAAACTCATCCTTTTCATGCATTTTAAAAATGTCTGTATCAACAGTTGCCCAGAACTCCCTGCCTATATTATTGAAGGATACTCTTACAGCCTCAATAACTAAATCTGCCTGTGTTTAAATCCCCAGGCTCCGGTTATTCAGACTGAGATTATCATCAGTGGTGTTAGTAGTTTATAGGAGTTATAGCTTGTATTTTTACACTCCTGCTGCTTATTCACTTTGACAACTGCCTGATTAATCAAGCTCATATTATTTGGTACAATTGCTGGGGTGCCTTTTTTTAGACATATATGTTTCTATTTCAGTGGGCTGTGGAAATATAAAATAAGAGGGAAATGTAAAATAATCTATGTAGTGCTACTTTGTTATACTAGCCTTTGAATACAGTGAAAGGTCACCTGGTAATGTGATGGAAAAGAGGCCTATAATTCACAGAAAAAGATTAAGTTCTGGGTGATTGATGTATCATGTCTAGAATGTAATCAGAAGTTATGAAATATTTAATTTATCCCATGATATAAAGTTCAAAGTTTGTTTTCAATTTGATCCAAAAATCACTAAAATACAGTTCAATATATTTCTTTTCACAGCTGACATTGATTACTAGAGTCCATATTAAAAATAAAAAATGCCATCAGTCAAAGCCTGGTATTGGAAAGATAACTCATTTCCAGTACAGAAACATTAACAGTAGCACACACATGTACACACACACATATATGACACAACTCCTATAAATGCTCACGCATGCGTGTGCGCGCGTGTGTGTGTGTGTGTGTGTGAGAAATATGTTAAATATCCTGAGGTTCCTCCTCACAAGGTTGTTAAAAAAGAGACGTTGTGATGAAAACCTTAAGTAGCAATGGGATGCTCTGTGGCATCTTGTCTCAGTATCAGAAAGGTAATGCACATGGTGGTAATGTGTTCTCCTATTCTCCATCAGAAAAAAAAAATCTGACTCTCAGTGAAATATATATGTAATGCATTAAATCTTGGCTGCTCCCTGTACAAATACTAACATATTACATCATAAATTGGGTGGGGTTCCCCCATACAGGATAGAGTTTGGCTCTGTAGCCTATTATTATTTTTCTTACTCCACGCTTGGAAAATCTGACGGGGAAGCTTTCTAACATGTGTGCTCTTCATAATGCAGAACAAACTGCAGAAGTGGTTCCTTATTAAATATCCTCCTATCTATCTAAAATATCTAGCTGATAATAAAATGCTATTTATTGATTGATTATAGATCAAAAGTTTGCTCACTCCTTATGGCAACAGCTGCATAGATCAGTCAGGCCATAGGGTGACTGGCTATGGACAGGGAAGACTTGGACTTGATCTCAGGTGAGGGGAGGAATGGAGCAGCATACGACACTCATTCTTGGGAGAAAAACACTCTCACAAGGAGATGAGAAAAGAAGGAGATGAGAAAAAACTCTCTCACAGGTAGATTTTTCCTGGTTTCAACTTGGAAGACCTTTCTTCCAGAGGGGGCATGTTTCCACTGGGAGAAAATGACTGAACACTTCCACACTCCTAGTATCTACCAGAAAAGGGGAGATTCTTCTGGTTGAAACATAATGCCTGCAGGTGGCCTGAGTGAGGACTAACTACAGAAATTCAGGCCACAAATGTGAGCCAAAAATGTGGATGATTTAATCTAAATGTGTCTTTCCTCACCTGCCAAATCCCTTGAGATGGATCATCTAATTTTATGGAGAGGGAGGAATGGAATCAGCTCATATATAGCATATTTGCAAGATCACACCAATATGATACATCACATCAAGCCTCTCTGGTCACAAACATTTTTCAGGCAAGCATACAAAATCAGAGGTGTGGTTATGAAAATGCATCTCTAAGGCATAATGAAGCATAAAGTACAGCCAAAAAAAGCCTGCATCTTGTAATTATCTCACTCCTTTGGTTTGCATACTGTTATCATAAATGTGTCTATAAAAAAGTGAAATAAGATTTTTTATGTGGGGTTGCGCCAGTGTTCCACTTAGCATGCTGAAACACATAAATCAACTGGCATGTCTGTATTTGCAAAGATTTATGTATCTTCTTTGAGGATCACCAGCCAAACGGCACACTCTCTCCACGCGAACACTTGGCAGGTTGGTTAAATCATTATTCCAAGTATTTACAGCTAAAAAATAATTTTGGCTTGTTTTCTCAACATGTCACACCATTAATTTCACTTTGTTCAAGATACTGCATGCTTGCCCAAATTGTTCATAACTTGTATTTCTGCTGAGTGCATGGAGAGAGTAAGCTGCTTTAAAACTTGAAATAACCCATAACAAACTTGCCCTACCATGGGTGCTATTTAAAACAGTCTAAGAAGTAGTCCTTGTCTAGGGATCACTTTCTGCTGATGGATCATATACTTTACAGCAGGTCTCTTGGCCAGCCACCGTTCCTGTCATTGCTCCTGCTGCTATGGTGTCTGGGGTGTCTAGGCTCCCTCTCCTTTGGCTACTGCTTCTTTCCCCTGCTCTTGGAAATGGGGCAGGGCAGTTGGAGAGGGTGTGGGGAGAGGGGAGTCAAGCTTTTTGTGCTGCCAGGAGGGGAGCTGGGTTGCCTACCCTGTGCATGTAGCTAAGGGGAGACAGACTCCACATATAGCCACAAGAGGAGCTGGGTTGTCTGGGCTGCAGAAACTGTGTGTGTGTGTGGCCACAGACTGCCTGTGCAGTTTGGGGGCGGGGGGGGGGTCCCAGGAGGGCCATTTGGTCCCTGCTGCATGAGCCTGGGAGTCTGCATCCCATGGGGTATACATTCCCCTACTGTCTGGAAACTGGACAAACCTGCTTTACAGGAAGAAAATTTGAAATATTTCTGGGCAGTCTATGTTGAATAAGGAATGTGAATTGTAATGGCCAAATATCACACTTACTGGGCTTGAAAGCAAGAGTTACGTGGTGAAGTGCTATGGCTTGTGTTATACTGGAGGTCAGACCAGATCATCACCAATGGGCCTTTCTGGCCTTAAAATGAATGAATGAATCAAATAGCTTTATCCCAAAGAAGCCCTAAGTGAATACCAATGGCAGTCAGTCTCCATCTCAGACTGAACAATGCTACTGAATAGTTAGTGGCGCTTATCTTTCTAGCACAATGTGCTATTGTTTTTTAATCTGACAGCATAATTATGACTGGATTGTTTCATCTTCTACAAACAATGTATTCAGGAGCAAACAAGAGGAAGTACTTTTACATAGTGCATAGTAAACGTGTGCAACTTCTTGCCAAAGGAGGTTGTAGAGGTATAAGGTATAAACAGAATGAGAGAGGGATTAGACAAATTCATGGTGGATGTGTCCATTGAAAGCTATTAAATATAACAATCAAAGATTGTTAGGCTTCTGACAGGCCTACACCAAAGTTGGTAGGTGCCAGGGACAGTCTGACAACGATGATTTACACTAGCTATGCCCTGTATATACGTTCTCTATAAAGTATCTACTATTTGCTATGGTTGAAAACAGGCCTATTTGTTATGCCAGGCACAATGGGCATGGTTGGACACAGGATAGGGCTAGACAGACCATTGGTCTACCTCACTTTGGCAATTTTTATGTTCTTATGTTCAGTGGTTTTTGCAATCTCATGCAGCATTCAGAGGTGGGATTCCCACTCTGCCTAGCAGGCCCTGTGCATTATAGGATAGAAAGCATGGGATTCATGGGATAGTGCTTCCCAGGCTTCTTGCTGCTCCAATGAGCAGAGGGGGCAATATATTTATCACTCAAAAAGTCCTGGGGTTGACTTAGGGGGAGCTTTATACAAAAACTATGGAAGGATAAAGGTGAAGAGGGAAGAAAATAGAGGGGAGGGAGAAGAATTTTTTCACAAGAAAGTTGTAAGATTCCTTCTAGCCCTTTTCCTCTCTCTTACATTTTTAATGTTTTACACTTTGGCTTTGATCCTACAAGCACTTTTGTGTATTCTGAACACCCCTACACTGATTAATCTCAATGATTTGTTCTCAGTTGTAATGTAAAATACATGTGTAAGTGTTTTCAGGATCTGGACATTAGTGATTAATATCAAGCCTAAACTTGCAAGGTTTCAAACATAGTTAGTTGTTTGAAAAGGCAGCAGTCAGTATGGCTCTATTCTTCATGGCTATTTATATTACTGTAGCATCCAACCTCTTCCCTATATTTAATGTATTTATCATCCCTGAGTTATAGATGTGGAATTTCTCAATTTTGAAGATAGGGAACTGAGGACCAGAAAGATTTGCTTAAGGTTATCTAGGAATTCTCTAGCAGAGCAGCAATGTAAATCTGGATCTTCTGAATCCATAGCCAGTACTTTACCTGGTTTCTTTTCTACCTGTCATTCTCACTTTAGCATTTTAGACCATGACTACTGGCAACAGAAGAAAATAACAGATATCTGTAACTTAGGGCCAGTTCTCTGTTCCCTTTCCATGACTTTTTCTAATGTACTCCTTTCTTCCCTGTTCCAGGGTCACTTGAGTGTATTCTCCTTCCTTAAAACACAGTGACAGTGACTTACAGTTAAACATGGAGTCTTCTTTGTC